GACGATTTGTTTGTTTACACGAAGCCGAGAGCACGTATAGGTATATGGTCGCTCTCAATGGGACACGGAAAAAAAAAAAAAAAAAACGAAAAAAAAAAAAAAAAAAAAAACAATTGATATGCACCAACAGATCGAGTAATCGCTCTGACAGCTAAAAAGTATTAACGCGATGGAATTCAAATGCTACGAAAATTTTGTATGTCCTTTGGAGTAAAAATTATACCTGGTTAGTGATCCAGAGAATAATATTACAACTGGCACATTTACTTTCAAAATGTTGCTGTCATTTTTTTGGAATTCATACTAACTACATAATTTATTACAATTAGCTCTAAAGAATTTTTGTTTTTTAGATGTGTAAAATAAAACTCGTTTCGCTAATCATATAAGAAAATTTAAAAATTGGCGACAGTCTTAATACTAACAATAATAATTACAATAAAGTAAAAATACAAAAGTAATTTATAGATGTACGATTTAAAAAAACTTTTTAAACAAATGTTTTCAAATTTCTCAGTGTCATTGTTTTTCATGTTGAAAAATAAAAGAAACAAATGACTCAGTCAACCTAAAGTTTGCATGAGACGCGACGTATATTTTTTAATTTAAAACCTAAATGAAAATGATGCAAAAAGAAGGTTTGCTAAGGGTCAGATGAAAAATAAAAAGCTCATTGCACCCGACACTATAATAACGAGACGAACGAAACGAACAGTAAGCAGAAGGTGAATGAATAGCAAAAAAATTCATTCCTGCGTCAAAGTAAAAAAAAAGAAAAAGAAAAAAAACGCTCTATTGTACGAGGTACAATCTGTATGCATATATATAGGGGAGGAAAAAAGGAAGAATGAAAGCGAGAAAGATAGAATGTACGAATGAGCGGGGAAGGGAGAGAATTACGAAACAGACTTTCAGACAATACGTACGTACACAGCATATTTATTATTAAAATTTATACTCGCCGAGGCGCAAACAGCAAGGGCCATCTTTCTCTCACGACCCCACGTACGCGGCTCTACATACATTAGCTGGAGAAGGTGTGTATATATAATATAAATAATTAATAC